AGCTCGTAAAATGTTTGAGTGTAAATAATACATTTTCCAAGAGAAAACAGCACTATAGCAATGTCTGACAAAGCAATTACTTAACTCTAAGATTTCAAATGGCTTTTTTTTATTTTCTCGGTCAAAATTTAGGTTTTTTGAAATTATAGATTTTTTTTCATGCAGGTATAGGCCTAACCAAAATCCATCTAGGATAAATATAAATCAGCCAAATACAATGAATTTAGATTCATTTGAAAGCTAAGAGTTTAAGCTTTAATTTGATACCAAACATATGTAAGGAATCTTCAATTTTCCTTTCAATTTTTTCATAACTGCACAAATATTTGAAAAAATCTGCGATTTTCAAAATTGTCGAAACATTCCTATTTTTGACCATTTTTTAAAAATTTTATTGCATTGAATTCTATTAATATATGACAAAAAAGTGCTTTTACATGTAAAGTCACAGTAACAGTCACTAACTTCTGTAAAAAATTACTGTTAAATTAGAAATTTAAGATTTTGTGTAAATTTCAGTGTTTTTTTGGTGTAAAATAGCTCAAAAAATTACGCCAAAATGCTGATTTTCTCATTCAATTTTTTTTTTTAGTTTACAGAGCTTATTTCATTTGTAAAACAACTAAATACCAATACAAAACAAGTAGTAGAAAAAATTTGGGATTTTTTTCCAGCATTTTCTGACCAAAAATGTTTTTACAAAGTTTGAGATATTGTAGTTTTCTTAATATTTATGTAACAAAGGACTTTAGTGGCTTAAATCAAAGCATAAAGGAGTCTTATTGCAAAAATGCAGATAGATTGCTTGCAGTTCCTAACCCGTTTGTTATATTTGGCCTAAAAAATAGCCCAAAATGTGGCATTTTGCCTTCGCAAGAAAAACGGCCAAATTTTTGAAATCTAAATGGTCATAACTTTTGAACTGCTTGACCGATTCCAAAAATTTTGACACCAATGAATTTCTTTTTTTCTACTCTTTCATAATAATGTAATTTTATGCATCTTCTCTTTACTTAATATTTTGACTGACCTCCCTACTTCTGTAACTCTACAAAAAACTTGTTTTCTCTTTTCGGGTAAAGACATTTAGCGTGCTATGTACTTACAATTTATATGTATAACAAGTTATTACAACATCGTACTGTTGTACGTTTGTTTTTTCTACATTGGCTAGAGGTATAGGGGGAGGGTTGAGATCTCAAAAAACATGTTTAACCCCGCCGCATTTTTGCGCCTGTCCCAAGTCAGGAGCCTCTGGCCTTTGTTAGTCTTGTATCATTTTTAATTTTAGTTTCCTGTGTATAATTTGGAGTTTAGTATGACGTCCATTATCACTGAACTAGTATACATATTTGTTTAGGGGCCAGCTGAAGGACGCCTCCGGGTGCGGGAGTTTCTCGCTGCATTGAAGACCCATTGGTGGCCTTCGAACGGCTGTTGTCTGCTCTATGGTCGGGTTGTTGTCTCTTTGACACATTCCCCATTTCCATTCTCAATTTTATAACAATCAGAAATATCTGGATCCATACCATTTGTTTATGATATATGAACAAAAACAAAAACATAAACAAATTAAATTTTATACCAAATGTTTACTGTTGACGCTACTTAAAGGTGTCTTCTGTCACGTCCGCGTTTTGACAGGTAGTGCTTGTTTTTCCAATCATAATAAATCCGGTTAAAAAAATAATAATGTTTTGTTTTTGTGTTTTTATCATCGAGGGCATTTGAAAATTTCGAAATCTGTAGCTGTTAGTAAACATAGAAGCAGCACCCTATCAAAAAGATATGGAAAGGGTATAAGGGTATATTTATAAAAAAAAAAACTTGTCAGAACTAAGTCCCCTAAAAATGGTAACAATAATTATATTTAATTAAAAAAATAGCTTTTGCAAATGTTATTATTAATATGAGAAAGATGTGGTACGATAGCCAATGGGACAATAGCCGAACATAATCCCTTGATAGTAGTGCCTTAAACAATGAGCAAAACCAATATAATACTTTAAAGAAACCCATAGTTTAATTTATTTAGTTTAAACATATCTTATCTGCAAAAGTAACAAAAGGGATTGGACACAACATTAGTGTCATCCTCTCATTATATAAATATAAACACAGAAAAAATATTTGATAATGTCAATAACCTAAAAGGAATACATGTTATACAAAAAATTCGTAAGGGGGTTCCGCGGAACCCTGTGTCTCGCCTGCGATGCTGCTGTCAGTGTAAAAGTGTAATGTAAATAATAGGCAAAAATGAAGTCATTTAAGGGCAAAAACTCCAATACGAGCTCGTCTGACAGTTTTGACGTAAATAGATGGTAGGGAGATTCCAACATTTTGAAAATTCCTGCCCCTGTCAGATTTTCTCTATCTATAGCAGTTTTCAAGATAATAGACAAAACTTGCATTTTACCCCGTAAGTTCTAATTTTAGCCGTGTCGGCCATGTTGGTTGGAAAAAAGGGGGGTGGTCATCGCACACAATTTCTAAATCTTGATACCCCAATGGTGATTGTGGCCAATTTTGATTAAATCTAGCCCAATAGTTTCAGAGGAGAAGATTGTAAAAGTTAACGGACGACCATAACGGACAACTGACGCCAATTGATGGGGAAAGCTCACACTGGCCCTTTGTTCTTAAATTGTACTTTGAAAATAATTTCTGAAACTAGCTGTATTTTTATAGTTGGGCAATCTGTTCCCTTAGATAAAAAGCTGGTGCTTACAAAAATAACTAGATATGATTCTTAGACTGTCAAAATGTAGTCAAACTTAGAATTCAACTGCCAGACTTGAATGTACAGTGCATGTTGGATCCAAGGACCAAACACTCACGAAAATCATTTTACTACCAAATTGTGATGCAACAGATGAATGTCGTAATACATTCACAAATACTTTTGTTATATAAACACACATATTAGACAAAAGAAGAAGCAAACATTTCTCGTTATAATGTCCTGACCTCAACTGATATTGTGTTCAATATATTCAATATTTGACAGTAGTACTTCATTGAAGTCTGAATCATGTACTACATCAATTGTTTCCGCCTTATTAGAATTGTCCACCAATTCATTTGTTTTCTTTAAGGTAAAGTTTCCAAATAAGCTTCTGATCTAATTTGATGACCACTCTTTAAGTGGAAACATTTTATATGGAGTTATTTTTTAAGGCGATCGCAAATGCCTTCATAACGAGTTTTTTTTTTCCAAGTTTTTTTTCTCCTTGCTCAAAAAAGCATATAGTTAAGCCTTCCAGTTGATATTTTATAGTGTGTTTTTCTATGTTGTGATGTTATACTATTGTTTCAGAAAAGGGAGAAGGTTTGGTACCATTAAAACGTTTAATCCCGCTGCAAATGTTTGCACCTGTCCTAAGTCAGGAATTTGATTACAGTAGTTGTCGTCTGTTTATGTAGTTCATACGTGTTTCTCGTTTCTCGTTTTTATATAGATTAGACCGTTGGTTTTTCCGTTTGAATGGTTTTACACTAGTATTTTTTGGGGCCCTTTATAGCTTGCTATTCGGTGTGAGCCAATTCTCCGTGTTGAAGGCCGTACCTTGACCTATAATGGTTTACTTTTATAAATTGTAACTTGGATTGAGAGTTGTCTCATTGGCACTCATACCACATCTTCCTATATCTATTTACTGCAGGGTTTGTTGCTCGTGCTGTGTGGATGCAGTAGAATGTGTCCCCGTGCTTGTGGTGTATGCCCTTATATTTTTCAATTATGGGTTGTTTGCCTGTGAGAGAGCTTTCACATGTTTATTTTATCTTTGTATTAAATCTTAATTGTTTATATATTACGGCTTTTGGATGTATAAATACTCATCCACGCCTGCTATTTTTATTATTGCCCCCTGCTATGGTTTTACTAAGATTTCTTACAATCTCTGTTTTTGCCCCGTGTTTGTTATATATGTCAGTTTTGTAATACTTTAGTCTTTACGTCGGGCCTTTTACAACAGTTTTTGTAAGAGTTATTTTACTGCTTTGCCTATTATTTCCTATTCCGTAAGTGTGACCCTCATTCAATGTTGCAACCTCCTGTCTTTTTTATTGTTCCTATACCCCTATTTAATAATCATGATTTTACGGAATGGAAAGATAATTATTAACAACACAACTTCTAGATTATCCACGTGCTTAAATAAACGTATTTGTAATGCCAATACAGACAGATTGTTTAACAAAAATGCACGTGGATATCCACAAATTTTCCCGTGCAATGCCAAAAAATGACTAACTTGTTTTAGATTAACTTCTCAAAATACTGTAAGGTCAACAGTGAACGGGGGAACTTTTTCGCTCTCCTTTTCCTGTGATATTACCTGAAAAACTCAAAACCTGATATATGTGGTAACTTGAACCCAACCTAAGTGTGGTATTCAATATGTGGGACAGACGGGACGACAGTATTACAAAAGAAATCAAGAACACCTTTACCGCTTTCGTAAACCCCAAAAATTAAAAAGTTTGGTATATCAACATTTAGATAAGCATAATCACAATCTTAAATTTATAAAATTCCAACCCCTCGTAACCGTTCAGAAACAACCAGGAGAATCACACAAGCAATCAGTGAAAAATCACGTGAAGTTCGCGAATTATTTTGGATAAAAAGACTTCAAACAGCTTATCCTCTCGGTCTCAATGACAAAATATTAGGACAGGGGAACATATCTAAAACTTCTATCGATGTCATTAATATTGTTGATAAACGACATAGAAATAATAGGTCTCATGGTAAACGCAAAAACCGTAATCAACGTATTAAAAATCGTATAAATTATACACTTGCTGATCTGTTATCTATAATAAAAAATAATGGCAGACATCAAGTATTATGCAAACTGGGTCAGATACCAATAAGTAAATTATATGCTATTTTTCTGGAGTGTGATAAAATTTCTTTTTTAGCCCGTTTTATGAATACACCCGTATTATTACAGCCTTTTGTCATCACAGGCTGTTTCCTAGGGTGTTCATGTTCCAAAACGTTGGAACCAATCAGATTATTATTTACTTTGTAAGCGTTGGTTTGATTCGATGGGGGTGTGTCTTTTAAATGTATGACGAGTAGCCTCTGTATGAAGCATAGATCTCCTATGTGAAGGCATGGAAAGTGTATTATGGCGACTCGTTGGCGGTAACAACAAAACATATTTTGTAGGTTTATAGGTTAATGCATGTAATGCAACCTAACTTTCTGGTATTGTTTATACTTCTATTTACACATTCATATAAAACAGACTCTTTTCTCATCAAATAAGACTTGAAATTAAGGGGAAGTATCGGTGGATCCAGCTCCTGGCGTCCTGCTCGAAAATCGTCCAATTATTTTGGTGGCTACCGATAGAATATTCTTGTCATTATCTGTTTCACTAAATAATATCTTAGAGATTAGGTGACTGACATGTTGTCATTATACTCCTTCAAATACGGAACTAAATTCAATGAAATATAATTTATGGGGGAGGAGTGACCGTATGCACACAGAGTCACCGCATGATATTTAATTTTGCTGATTGTGGGCATTATCCGGTCAGAAGAACACGTATCACATATTGGACAAGGGGTTGTCACAATAATACACCTTATCGCTATTTGTCCGCCATTACTTGACATCACACAGGTTCCTGCACAATTTTGACGTCATAATACAAAATATCTGACGCCACAATGGAAAAGTGATTGTTGTATGTCTTATTAGTTCAAGCGGGACAGATTCTCAGGTCAGCCGAGAATAGCGATAAGGTGTATTAGAACGTCTTGAACTGGTATACAGATTCATCAAGAATAGCGCTAAAGCCAAAACTTTATAAATAACTTTCCTTTATTATTATTTGAGGGTCATAATGAAGGGTACCTTCATGACGAATAACATTAATCAAAATTCTTGCCATATGTAAAGGTATATTTCCGGTGAACTATCTTTTCAACCATGTGACAAAAACGAGACCATTTTCACTTACTTCCATATGTTGAACTTTTTGAACTGTGGTAGGTAGATTTATACGAGCGTTCAAGAACTATATGACATTTAAATAAGATAAAGACCATTTTAATCTGAAGTAAGGAACAGGCGCTTGTGGCTATATTTCTTTTAATATTCTGATTTGCAACAATGGAAAAAAATTACGATCAAGGCCAAGGAGCAGATACAGATGAATTTTATGTTAATCATGTAATAAATGTTAACACACAGCTGTGGCATTTCACATATCAATAAAAATACTTTTCTCAAAAATTGTAAAGGTCAAACAAATTTAGAAATAACATCATTTTAATATAACTACCACTATAACCTGTTACCAGTAAAAAACTTTCAAAATCCACTCTTACCATAAAGGAATTGGACTGCTATGGCCATCTTGTATTTTACTCACAGTTGTTACACATGTGACATGAGAATATGGATAACAGTTCTAAATGGTGAAGTTGAAATCATCCCTTCGAATATTTTACAAATACCATCACAAGTTGGTTGACCGTTATGAAATAATCGTTTCACAGATGATATCGATTATTTTCATTATGTCGTAATTACAATCCCCTTCTGTTTTCACGAATGTGACCTACAGAATTAGACTATTTACCGGATTTGTAATAACATGAGTAACACGATGGGTGCCATGGACTGTCATTAACATGCCATGGTCTCTTTTATGCAAATTACACATGAGACCATGGATCTATATCTCTGTTAGAAACATATGAAGGGCCATTTTTACCACAATGAAACATAGGACAATAGACCAATTAGACTGTTAGTAGCATGCCATGGTCTCTTTTCTGCATATTACACATGAGACCATGGATATATATATATCCGTTTATAACACATCATGGACTTTTAAATCACATAGAAACATGGCCCATAGACTGTCAGGAACATGTCATGGTCTCATTTATGCATATTACACATGAGACAATGGACCTACAGTCGAACCTTGTTGTGTCCAACTCGGTAGTGTCGAAAACTCGCATGAGTCGAAGTAATTTCTTGGTCCCGGTAAAATTCCCGTTTGATCAATGCATAATTACCTCTGATGGGTCGAACTCCGTTGATTCGAATACTCGGTTAAGTCGAGTAAATTTTATAGTCCTGTGACTGTCGATGTAAAATTATTGTAAATTGACCCCTATGACTCGAAGTTCGAAAGTAAGAATTTTCAAAAGATGCAGACCTAATGATAAAAATTCAAATCGGATGTATTTCTTATGTAATCTAATCATTTTCAAAAGAGATTAAAGCTGAGTAAACATACTTGTTTGTATAACAGTTAAAATGACATGTATATGGTGACCGGTAATTAACACCTTTGTTGATCGTTCAAGCGGAATGTTAGTGTGTTGAACATTTTTCACATCAGATTAAAACGAAACGAATTTAAATGACCCAAGCCGAGATTAAATGAATCGTTAGATTTAAAACTCATTAATTACAATAAATAAAAGGATTAGGGCAATTATGATAAATTCATGATCATTTAATGTAAAGCAGAGGACCTCTGGCTCATCAGAGACCGTTCAGAACTTAATTCGCTCCGCGAGTGATTTCATAATTTATAGTGACTGACCTTTGTAAATATTTGTGTAGACTATTGATTTTATTTGTGCATGTACAATGTACTTGTGTGTTTAATTATTATGAAGTAAAGTGTCATATCGAAAAAAGGCACACTGTTCATTGTATCTAGTTTACACAAATCTCATACCGTATTTCATGCATTCCAAATTTATGACTACACACTCGACCTCAGATGAGTCGAACCTCGGATGTGTTGAAGACTTTGGTCCGGTCCCTTCGACTTCGACACAACGAGGTTTGACTGTATATATCTGTTATTATTATTAACACATCATGGACTCTTATAAAGCTATGCAACAGAAGACCATGGACCAATTAGACACTCAGTAACATGTCATGGTCTCACTTACACATATTAAGCATGAGACCATGGACCTATAGTATACATATATTATTAATACATCATGGACTCATATAACAATAGCACATAAAACCATTGACCAATTAAACTATCATGCCACTGTCTCTTTTAAACACATTACACATGAGACCATGGACCTATACATATGTTATTAATACATCATGGACTCTTATATAAAACCATGGACCAATTAGACTGTATTATGCCAAGGTCTCTTCTTTACACATTACTAATGAGACCATCAACCATCAACACACAAAGAAACTTAAGACCATGGACCAATTAGACCGTAACATGCCATGGTCTCTATTATACACATTACACATGCCACCATGGACCTATACATATGTTATCAACACATCATAGACTCTTATACCACAATAAAACAGAAGACCATGGACCAAATAGACTGTAAATAACATGCAATGGTCTCATTTATGCATATTACACATTAGACCATAGACCTATACATATGTTATTAACGCATCATGGACTCTTATACCACAATGATACATTAGACCATGGTCCAATGGGACGGTAACATGATGTGTCCTTCTTCTGTATATTTCACATGAGACCATGAACCTATATATCTGTTATAAGCATATCATGGTCTCTTTTATATATTCATATAAACAATTCTAAATTGAAACAACGTTCAAACCTATCATTGCGTTGGATAAAAACCGCAATTTTTATACGTGTGCATGCAAAACAAATTTCTTGTTAGAGGGGTCTAAATACAGCACAAACAACATTTTCCAAAAGACCAAAAAAGTGAAAAAGTATATTTTAACAAAACGCATTTGAAATTGACTAGCAGGTCGAACAACTGATGTTCTTAAACCCTGCTGACTGCCATTGGCGATTGCCAAATAAACGGATCACCAGATGTAAAATATATATATATTTAACATGCTTTATATGTTATAATACCATTTTACTTTTATTCCAGTCTGAAAATAATTATACAAGCTGCATCATTTTTCTAATTCTCTAAAGATTTCAAAGATGTCAATTTTCCAAGCATGGAAAAGTGTGGAAAAGAAGACTATAATGTTTTGTGTATTTAGTTCTTTAAGATTCTATTTTGACTTAAATTTAGTAACTTTACATAGTCGGTCAAGCCTAATTAAATTGTATTAGTCCTATATGTGTGAAAACTTTGTGCATCTCTATTTACATATTATTTTTCATAAAATGGTAATAATAGAAAAAGAGTATCAATATAGAAGCTCACATGAGCAGTAGATAAATCATTGTGATGGTGATGGTTATATTATATACTTAATGAAAAATTTATTTTTTCTATTGAATTAGAGATTATATATTAAAAAAATAAAAGTTGTCTCTAGTTATCCTACATAATGTTACAATATTCAAAGTGTATTTTATATGGAATATTGATCACTGTTTAAATCAATTTTAAATGCTTTCAAAGTAACGTATTATAGGTATTTAAAGTTATTCAAATATTTATTATTTTATAAATGTAAAAAGTGTTTTGATAGTTTTTTTCTTATATTATTTTTCCTTAGTATCACTCTTGATTACTTAAATGTAGTGTATTATACTTTTAGGTGGAGAATTTCAATGATAAACATCCAGTATCTGCTATTATTTGTTTGGCTGTTGTTAATAATGTCATTGTATCGACTGGTATGTATGTGCATGATCTGTAGTCATATATTTGAGACATTTTTTCTCTGATAAACTCTTATCATGCCACGTCTTAAACAAATATTACTACATGTATTATTACATTAAATGGACTTATTAGCCATAGTAAAAGTAATCAACCCTGAAAAATATTTATATATTATTGAAGGGTCTCCAAACAAAGAGTTTCTCTGCAACAATCTCATTAAAGACAGACAAACATCCACTAGTTATAAGAAAGATCATTGCTTATCTATTTTAGAGTTAAAATATGATAAATGAAATAGACATATACATGGTCAATTTTCAAACGTAATATTTTCAGTAGACCTGTGCTAATTATAAATTCAACTTTCTTTTTTAAATTTTACATTTTTGTCGAGCCTTCGACTTTTGTCGAAAAAGCGAGACATAGCGATCCTACATTCCGTCGGCGTCGTCGTCGGCATCCACAAATATTCACTCTGTGGTTAAAGTTTTTGAAATTTTAATAACTTTCTTAATCTATCCTGGATTTCTACCAAACTTGGACAGAAGCTTGTTTATGATCATAAGATAGTATCCAGAGGTAAATTTTGTAAAAAAAAAAATCCATTTTTTCAGTATTTTACTTATAAATGGACTTAATTTTTCTGCCAGGAAACATTACATTCACTCTGTGGTTAAAGTTTTTGAAATTTTAATAACTTTCTTAAACTATCCTGGATTTCTACCAAACTTGGAAGGAAGCTTGTTTATGATCATAAGATAGTATCCAGAGGTAAATTTTGTAAAAAAAAAAATCCATTTTTTCCGTATTTTACTTATAAATGGACTTAGTTTTTCTGCCAGGAAATATTACATTCACTCTGTGGTTAAAGTTTTTGAAATTTTAATAACTTTCTTAAACTATCCTGATTTTTATCCAAACTTGGAAAGAAGCTTGTTTATGATCATAAGATAGTATCCAGAGGTAAATTTGGTAAAAAAAAAATTCCATTTTTTCAGTATTTTACTTATAAATGGACTTAGTTTTTCTGCCAGTTAACATTACATTCACTCTGTGGTTAAAGTTTTTAAAATTTTAATAACTTTCTTAAACTATCCTGGATTTGTACCACACTTGGACAGAAGCTTGTTTATGATCAAAAGCTAGTATCTAGAAGGAAATTTTGATAAAATTTTGTTCCATTTTTTCCGTATTTTACTTATAAATGGACTTAGTTTTTCTTCCAGTTAACTTTACATACAGTCTGCAGTTAAAGTTTTAAAAACATTTATTAGATTCAAAAACCATCCTGGATTTTTACCAAACTTGGACAGAAGCTACTTAACAATCAAAAGATAGTATAGAGGGGAATATTTTTATTAATTTTTTTCCTCATTTTTGTTGAGCCTGCGATTAACAGCGAAAGTAGGCGAGACACTGGGTTTTGCGGAACCCTTACGAATTTTTAATACTTAAAAAGTTTCTTTGCTTTTCGAGTATTAACTTATTAAACTAAGATAGATTTAAACAGCAAATGTAGATATATTTATATATATATATATGTTTTTATATTTTATTCAGGTTCAGTACAGATGAAGTCCATGTTTGTTCAAAATGAGCATGTGACAAAGACGTACACAGATATACTTCTTGGCATGCAGTTTAATGGTAAACCAAAGAATATGTTTATATTATATATCCATCTACATGCATACTTTTTTTCCTTTTGTTCTGCTCCACATTTATATTCTTACACATAAGTTATGTTTCACTGTTCACAACAACTGGACCCCTTTTAAACAATTGGCTGGATTTTATTGCATAATGTACACATGGGTACATGTTGCAATATTTTAAAATAGTAAAATAGATGCATAAATGTTTATGGTTAGTGAAATGAGTCTTTTTAGTGGAAGGGAAAAGTGGCATATTGTAACTTAGAGCTGTTAAACCATGATTTTATGATACTGATACAGTGCTTGTTTTTCAGAGGCAGACAACACGCCAGATCAGGCTCCAGATGATAATATTGTCTCAATACCATACTCTTCTGTGCTGGAAACCAATGTCTATGATTTGGATGTTGGCATCATGAGATCGCTGATATCCCAAGCAGCTGGACCAATGACTTCTCTATCTAGTATGACACAATTTATTTTTATGTATTTTCCTTTTTTATGCCCCATTTATGGGCATTATGTGTTCTGGTCTGTGCGTCCGTCTGTTCGTCAGTCCGTACGTCTGTCCCGCTTCAGGTTAAAGTTTTTGGTCGAGGTAGTTTTTGATGAAGTTGAAGTCCAATCAACTTGAAACTTAGTAAACATGATCCCTATGATATGATCTTTCTAATTTTAATGCCAAATTAGAGATTTTACCCCATTTTCACGGTCCAATGAACATAGAAAATGATAGTGTGGATGGGACATCCGTGTACTTGGGACACATTCTTGTTTAATATTAATAATGTATGGTTTTCATTGTTATATCCTTGTAACTTGAAAACATTTATAATAGCACATTCATAATGGTTTACCATTATAACTTACTGATAGGATATAGTAAGTTTCTATTTAACCTTGATAAAGGGGGCTATGATGCAAGAGTAAATGACATGTCATACATCAAAACATTGAGCGTGACTTGTCATCAGATTACTGAATATATATATATATCCCTATGGTGTTGAATTATTGTATTATATTTACAATAATTCTTCCAAATTATGTTTTAAAGAAATTGCTTTGTCATTGCAAGCCCTATGTTATTTACATATTTCTTTTAAGATACAGGCTCTTTGGGTTTAATTGTTCTTTCAGAATTGGTCTATTCCATGGGCATAATCTTTTGATCGACAGTGTTACAATTAATACTCATTATTTTTCTTATCTTTTACACCATCAATCAACTTTTGTAGTCTCTTCAATCAGTTGTAATGCAACTTGCTTTTGATCTTTTAGTATATAAATGGTACCGAAGAAGAATGCGTAGAAACTGTCAACCATGATCCAATAGAGCCTCAGGAAACAGGAGAAGGGGACAAGGTAGTGCAGGAGACTGATGAAGAATAAGTGGGCGTAATAGTTCAAGAGACAGGACAGGAGAAAGGGCAAGAGCCAGAGGGGGAAACACACGTTAGATATGAAGATAATTCAATACATGTGTTTTTTATGTCTGTTTAGGTTTAGGAACTTTTAATTATTCATATATAATTAAAGTCATTCATTGTATATATTAAAACAAAATATGTTGTATAATTGCCAATGGCAATGATACAACTTTCAACCAGAGACCAAATGATATAGAAGTTAACAACTATAGTTCACTGTTCAGCCTGCAACAATGAGCAAAACCCATGCCACTTATCTAGCCATGAAAGTCCTGAAATGACAAATGATAAACAAATAAAATCTGAAAACTAACAGTTTGATTCGTGTACAAAATAATATACAAATATGATAACAGAAGACAACCAATGAATTACACTGGATTTAGTGTAAATAAATCATTAACAGTCATTAACATTTAGAGAAAAACATGACCTTATGAAATAACAAGATACAGGTATCAACAGATGTGTGTATATATTTAGTATGATTTTAATTTACTGATAGAATATTCAATATTTATTCAAATATAAACAATATTTAAAGATCTAATTACAGTGTTAAATTTTTATTCTTTTAGAATAAGTTTATTTAATGATTGATAACTTTACCCAGAGCATACCTAAATTTTTAAAGCTCGGTAAACAACATGATATAGAAAATCAATATTATTTTTAAAGAAGTCTTTAACTTTTACAGCAACAGGAGATATTAAATATTATTTTTTATAATGTTTTTGTTTTTTTTACCAAATATGTGGGTTTTTTTTAAATAAAAGTAGATGCACTGAAAACATTTTAAGATTGAAGTGTATTTTATAGGTGAAAAGAGAAAGAATACACTCAATTTTCATGGAAGAGGTAAAATATAACTTGAATATTTTAGAATGCACAAATTGAAGTTTATTTTAAACAAAAACACATAGAGGCCACTGTAATGGCCTTCTTCTTTAACTTAAATCCACTTTCCATAGAGGAATGAACAGCTTACCAGTCCACAGCAAATGTAAATTGCATTTATAATGCAGTGTCCATTATCCTCTATGGAAATGAAGATATGGCTGTGGTACTGAAGCTGGCTTCAGTGTTGAAAATGGTGGATGATATAGTACCATTTTCAAAATATGTAAGAATACAATAAATTCATTTATTTATTTTTCCATCATTTATACCATTCTATTACGGATGGAATATAGAACTGTTTGTTGCTCTTGAATAAATCCAACCTAATGACTGGAAATGTTTGTTTGTTAAATGGTTCTCTATGTTAAATCAATATAAAACCAGTATAAATTCAACCATAAGACCTGTTTATTTGAAAAGATTTTATATTTGCAATTCACAAACCATTTATATGATCACAATCTGGTGTTTCAATCAATATCACTATAATGTAGTATGATAAAAGAGTAGCACATAAGTATACAAATGTAGACAAAATGGACATACATTAACAAAATTATGTAAATCACAGGTTACCATTAAGGGATTATCTATGATTGTGCTTGGCAATGTTAATTCATTTTTTTAAATTTGAGCACTGACAGATTTGCCTATAGGAAAGTAATATTTATTCTAATTATATTATTGTAATATTTCTCTTATATTGTAGAAGAATCCAAAGAGAAAACTGACCCGTGGGTTAAATCAACCCTGCAGCAGGTGAATGCAGCCTCAACAGCAGAGGAGGTAGAGTATGGATGCCGAAAAGAGCTGGTCTCGACTATTCAATATCCATACAGGGACGGAAGTAAGTATAATGTTTCTTTAAATAATTTTTACCATTTAAATGTTTAAAAAATATATTAATATGAAAATGAGGAAATGTGGTATGATTTCCAATGAGATTACTACCCACAAAAGACCAAATTATACAGAAATTAACAACTACAGGTCACCACACAATCTTCAACATTGAGCACAGCCCATATTGCATAATCAGCTATAAAAAGCTCCAAAATGACAAATCTTAAACCAATCAAACAAGAAAACGAACAGCCTGATTTATGTACAAAATAATTAATGAAAAATGCACATATTTATTTAGCACAAATAGTTATAGTTCTGTTCTGTATATCATTACTGGTCAACTTTTTCTGATGATCAATGTATGTAATAGTAGACCAAGTATTCTGTTTTTAATTTTGCTACCTATGTATATTATCTATAGCTTTGTTATTTTTCATTCAGCTGTTTTCCATCTACATCTATTGTCCCATTTGATGTCACGTCCAATACAACAGCACTGCAAAAAATACCAGCAGTACCAGCAGCTGATCCTGCCATTGTTGACACCCCCAGCTAGACCATCATCTTTACACTTGGTTTGGGTGCCTGCCAATCCAAGATATATGTAAGATCTAAAAGTTGTAAGCCTCACCTTATCCTGCAATCAGCCAACTATTGTACAAATAACAGGTACAAAAATAAATTTTTGCTTTATTTTGGAAGATATCAAATTTATTTGTACTCGCTATGATACAGATATTCACTCAAAATATATCATGTTAAGAATTTCTGTGTATTTCATTTGTAAAGTTATTTACAAGCATCACTCACATGTGGATGTGATTGCCTGCAAAATGGAGAGTTAAAACTGAAAAGGTAAAAAAATACCTAGTTCTCGTAAAAAAAAACTCTTCCTTTATCCAGTCTAATTTACCCGAATATAAAATTCTGTGTTTTCAATACTTAGTACTTACATTTCTATGGAAATTGTACCAAAATGAATCTAAAAGATTTTTCTATATTTTTTTTGTTGAACGTAAGTTGGTTTTATTTTTATGTACACCTAAATGGTTTTAGGCTATTGGAAAAGTATTTTGTATTGTGTTAGCTACAATGTATTTGACATTGCATACTTATAATATTTTTTTTTATATTTCAGCATTGAATACTACACAAATTTGCAGGTTAAAGACATGGATATGGATTTCAATGTAAGTGTATTTTATGAAAGAACAAACATGACCATATATTAAATAATGCTGACTCAGACCACTACAAATGAACACTAAAATGAGAAGAAACACAAGTTATAAAAATATTATGTATTTGGTTTTTTGTAGTAAATAGTCAAAATATGATTTTTTCTTTGAACAGTATGCCTTACTTTTTGTGCTACAGTTCTACAGGTGATGAAATATTATATTAAGGTGGTACCAAACCCCTTGACTAAAATTAATTTGGCTTGTAATTTTCATTAAATTTGGACAAAATTTTACTTTGAGCCTTTGACAAAAATATGAAAATTTCAAAAAACTTGAACCACACAATTTATCGGAAAAAACTCATCGAATCTATAGCAGTTTGACACACACAAATTTTTATCATTCAAAAGCTTAATATTTCCTTAACAAGTGATTTAAACATTCAGCTGATTTTACAGAGTTATCTCCCTGTTGTGTTATGTACCACCTTAAAACAGCATTTTTAAGGTCCACAGAGTACTGATTTCAGATGAAATTTCATTATAAGAAAATTCTGTTGACATGTAAACTTCTAGTATCATTCATATAGATCAAGAGGAATACATGTTGAAATGTGATATTGGTATAAAGATTGAATTATAGTGAAAAAGTTTTCAAACTGATTTTTTCAGATGATAGTCAACAATGTGGAACAAATGCATAGCCTGAAAAAAGAGGTGTTTTCCAGAGAAGCTAATGGGAAACTCAGATGGGCTCTTAGAAGTGGTCGGTTTGGTCCATTTACAGAAGAGTTTGTAAGTTTTAATAATTACATGTTATTGCAGTATATATCAAATGGTATAAAAAAGTTGTAGTTCCTTTTATCTTCAAAGTCATGCCATTTTATAACAATGTGTTTACCTCAGCATTAACAAGTTTTAAGAAATCATTTTTATAATTATAATGATTGTATTCAAATGTTTCTGAAAAATGAGAAAATAAATAAATTTGGAGGTAGCTACAAAATCTGATTGTTGTATTTTTCATTTTCTTCAGTTTGACACTGATAATGAAATCACGTAGAAAAGCGCCTTCTTATACCGGATATATATATATATATATATATATATGTATAAATAACATTTGTTTTACATATGAAAAGTATGCCTTAATTATATTCATCTCTCATTCAATTGTAAAATCTTGAACAAAATAATCTTTTTTGGAAAATGAGGCTTGCTTGTTTATATGTAATTAGAAAATGAGTTGATATATACCAAAACTAGAAAATTAATTTATTATTTCAATTTTAAGTCAGACTAAAAGGGATGTTTAGAATTGTTACTTTGGGAAAATCAAAGTATAATTGATTTGTTATGTTAAAATTGGAAATTCTTATTTTTTTTTAAATCAAATGATTGTGTTGATATTATTTTCTTTTGGCTTAATTTTAGACATGTTTTATTTAGCATTTTATTCTTATTTTTTTTAGGTTTTGATACAAGTTCTATGTAAAAAAGAAGAAGTAAGTTCTATGTAAAAAAGAAGAAGTAAACAGGCTGGTGGCTGAACTGGTTCTTCTAAGACATAAATCATGCTGACCACTGTATATCATTTCATGTTGACCACTGCATATCATTGTTACATCCATTTTCATTTTTATTTTTTATCTTCAAAAAACTTTTATCTGTAGATATTTGTAGCAAAACATATTGACTAAACCTATATTTAAAGTGACAGTCCATATATTTGAATTTGTTTTATGATTTATAATCTCTTATATCAACTTTTTTATTCGAAAATATTAATCCTTAGCTGAAAATGTCACTCAAATTTATCACACAAAACCTTTTTTGGAACCCAATAATCATTATAATTGATAACATATATATATGACTTATTTTTTCATTATATTATAATTGAAAAATATAATTGTTAAAACTCTTAACTATAAAATTATGTAATTATCTAAATGCAGCATGGAAAATGAGATGTCAAATTATTACTTAAGGTAGATCATAGGTATATATTTCCTCAGATAGAATTTTTTTATACTTTGCCAAAGTAAAGATTTTTCTATGCTTTTTCCAAAACTATAATAAAAAGTATGGGTCACCGTGCTTATTTTCAAGCTACGGGTTGTACGAAATTGCACAAATTTGCTTAGATTGTTTATGAAAAAACACATTTTTGTGCTTAAAAAGAAATCTATGAGATAGAATTTTGAAATATGATATGAGAAGATAGGTTTTATAATATGCTTTAAGAAAATAAAAAGAAAAAATGGTGTCACCGAAATTGTTTTCTTGCTACAAGTAAAAAATTAAAATTTCCCTATCAGTCCAGTATAAATTTTTTAATAAAAGAGTTATCTCCCCTTAAATGGCCAAGCTGAAAAATGATTCTAAAAACACAATTATTTGGTATTTATTTAAACATTTTTAATAATGCAATAAAACACCAAGTTTTCTTTCATTAAATAAACAGTCTAACCTATAAATTGCCTATCTGTCTCCAAATTTGCAGATTTGGGCAAAGATCTAGACCGATTGTGTACTGCGATTGTACAATCCAAGATGGCGGTATACCATGAATCTACCTTAACATTGTATCATTTGTGTTGTTTTCTGCTGTTTATTATTGTGTCATATATGTAATATATGTTTTGGTTGCAATAGCATGTAAATTTATTTCTGCAAATAAACTCATTTCATTTATTGATTCATATTCAATTATATAAATTTTCAAGGCTTGAAAGAGTCAGATTTTACCATGAATAATACAGAAATTATGTTTTTTCTACAATCATTGAAGTAGTTGAAATTGACATTGATATCTCATTTATATTGATCACATATTATACAATGTGTGTTATATCATATAAGTACACACTAATGTTTTATTAAATAACTAGTTATTTACATATGCTATATTGCTATTCAAATTTGTTTTATTACTATTGATAAACATCACAACCATAGACCCTATTACTGTTATTCCTAATAGGAATCCATCTACTACATTAACAAAAGAAAATTTGTTGGAAATGTTTAAATCAATTTTTTCCATCAAACCGGATTAATTTTATCTAATTTATTATATTTCTTTGTAAAATATTGAATTTTAAGTTTAGGACTGTTAGGCATGTATAAAAATTTTTTTTTATAATTATGAATAAATATTTTTTAAATTTATTTGTTTATTATTTATGCTGCAAATGTAAAGAAGATAACTTTACAAAATCAGTTATGAAAAGGGCAACATCATTTACAGATATCTTTTCCATCTGTTTTTTTTTTCTTCAGAACTTTGATTTAATCAAAAGTTTATCAATGATATGCTGTTTTTAATTACAAACTGGCAGATCACTCCAACTTCATCAAAAATTACCTTGACCAAAAACTTAAACCTGAAGCAGTACAAAAAATGAAAGGACATACAGACCGAAAAACATAATGCTCCTAAGTGGGGCATGAAAACAAAAATGCCAATATTCTATATAGATATAAGAAGATGTGGTATGAGTGACAATGAGACAACTCTCCATCCAAGTCAAAATTTATAAAAGTAAACCATTATAGGTCACAGTACGGTCTTCAACACAGAGCCTTGGCTCACACCGAACAGTAAGCTATAAAGGGCCCCAAAAAATTACTAGTGTAAAACCATTCAAACGGGAAAACCAACGGTCTAATCTATATAAAAAACGAGAAACACTTATGCACCACATCAACAAACGACAACTACTGAACATCAGATTCCTGATGAATATATGCATGAAATGATATCAAACGAAACTACATTGTACCAGGTGCACAAAGTCAACAACAGATTAGCATTATACCACATTGAACAACAACTAAAACCTAGACCATATATGAACTTTTATCTTACCTCCTATAGATTTATGGGGATATGATTGGTTAACGGACTACACACTCTCACCCCATATGGAATTTACTGACCCAGTATATATCGTATTAGGCCACTAACACACCATGTAACCAATAGTATATGAAAACTACCGTTAGAAGAAAAATTCATGGTATATGTGCATTTAAATTAGAGCTTTAAACATGGATGTTTGCTGTCATTGTATGGTTCAACTTTGCCAAAAGCTTAAGATGTTTTCTCTTTTTGTCTCGCTTGACGGAGTCAAAAAGCGAGACATAGGTATGCTGTTTCCGGTGTCGGCGGCGTCAACAATGTATTTGTTTGTGATTAGGTCTAGTTTATGGTGAACCGCTAGTGGTAAGTCAAAGTTATTTGGTAAGCAGCTGTATTAGTATTGGTACATCTCATTACCATGGAGATTATTTGGCCCCGCCCCCTCAGTTATGGTCTATTAACTTTGAAATTTTTGCTTAGTTTTCATGTATTAGTTTGTGATTAGGTCAGTTTATGGGGAACCACTAGTGGTAAGTTAATGATAATTGGTATACAGTTGTATAAGCATTGGCATATCTCATTTCCATGGAGATTATTCGGCACCGCCCCCTCAGTCATGGTCTATTGACTTTGAAACTTTTGCTTAGTTTTCATGTATTAGTTTGTGATTAGGTCGGTTTATGGGGAACTTCTAGTGGTAGGTCAATGATATTTGGTATGCAGTTGGATTAGCATTGGCACATCTCATTACCATGGAGATTATTTGACCCTGCCCCCTCGGTTATGGTTTATTGACTCTGAAGTTTTGCTTAGTTTACATGTATAAGTTTGTGTTTAGGTTTGTTTAAAGGGAACTACTTATGATAAGTCAATGGTATTTGGTATGCAGTTGTATTAGCATTGGCACATCTCATTTCCATGGAGATTGTCTAGCCATGTACCTTTAGTCATGGTTCATTGACTTTTAATATTTGCAAAACTTACATGTTAAAGTGTTGCTATTTTAATTTCAACATTTGCATTATCGAAATTACTAAAAAGCGAGACATATCTCTGTTATATAGGGTTAATACCCGTCGAATAACTGTGTCTCATTGGTGTATGAAAGTTATATAGGGTTTATACTCACCGAATAACTGTCTCCTTGGTGTATGAATGTTTTATATGGAAATTATCCATCGAATAACTGTGTCTCATTGGTGTATGAACGTTATATAGGGTTTATACCCATCGAATAACTGTGTCTCATTGGTATATGAACGTTTTATAGGGAATATATCCATCGAATAACTGTGTCTCATTGGTGTCTGAACGTTTGATAGGGTATATACCCATCGAATAACTGTGTCTCATTGGTATATGAACGTTATATAGGGTTTATACCCATCGAATAACTGTGTCTCATTGGTGTATGAACGTTATATACGGTATATACCCAACGAATAACTGTGTCTCATTGGTGTATGAACGTTATATACGGTATATACTTATCGAATAACTGTGTCTTATTGGTATATGAACGTTATATAGGGTTTATACCCGTCGAATAACTGTGTCTCATTGGTATATGAACGTTACATACGGTATATACCCATCGAATTACTCTGTCTCATTGGGATATGAACGTTATATACGGTATATACCCATCGAGAGTTACTGTGTTTCATTGGTATATGAATGTTACATACGGTATATACCCATCGAATTACTCTGTCTCATTGGTGTATGAACGTTATATAGGGTTTATACCCATCGAATAACTGTGTCTCATTGGTGTCTGAACGTTTTATAGGGTATATACCCATCGAATAACTGTCTCATTGGTATATGAACGTTATATACCCATCGAATAACTGTGTCTCATTGGTATATGAACGTTATATAGGGTTTATACCCATCGAATAACTGTGTCTCATTGTCGTATGAACGTTATATACGGTATATACCCATCGAATAACTGGGTCTCATTGCTGTATGAACGTTTTATAGGGAATACATCCATCGAATAACTGTGTCTCATTGGTGTATGAACGTTATATAGGGTTTATACCCATCAAATAACTGGGTCTCATTGCTGTATGAACGTTTTATAGGGAATATATCCATCGAATAACTGTGTCTCATTGGTGTATGAACGTTTTATAGGGTATATACCCATCGAATAACTGTGTCTCATTGGTATATGAACGTTATATACCCATCGAATTACTCGGTCTCATTGGGATATGAACGTTTTATAGGGTTTATACCCATCGAATAACTGTCTCATTGGAATATAGGGTTTATTCCCATCGAATAACTGTATCATTGGTGTATGAAAGTTTTATAGGGTATATACCCATCGAATAACTGTGTCTCATTGGTATATGAACGTTATATAACTCAGTCATCAGTTCATTTTTTTTTTCATTTGAAGTCACTGAAGCGCTCAAAGGCAAAACATCATCAGTAAATAGATATGTTATATGGAAATATATCGTGTAATGCACAACAGCAGTTTGTTTAGTACAAACATAACCATTGTATTTCACATCATTTTGATTTCTGTCACACATCTTTTGAGTCAGTTGAAAAATCTTTTGAACATATTTTTTAATACCTTAGTAGAACTATTTATCTGAAAGAGTTTTCTTTCATTTACCTACTACTTGGCATCAACCTTTGACTCCTCTGGTTTGTTGTTGTTTGTAAATATGTGTGACTGGTAAATAATATTTACTGACCAAACTTCCACACCTTTTTGTCTAATACCAAATCTCATTCTTGATTGGCAACACTATTCGACAGTTATACTGCCAGAGATACAATAAGAACGATATGCATAAAGAAATTTTATTGGAGAATGAAATATGTATACATCAATTTATAGGCTTACAAATGTGACTGCACATCAAGAAAATTCCATACCTTGGTTCTTTTTATTTTTCTTTCTTTTAAATAAAATAAAAACCCAACATTTATATAAATATGCTTTGTTATTAAAAAACTGTACTTAATGGACCCTGGACTCATCATGCCGCTATTGTGGTCAATGAAAGAGGACAACATTAACTGCCAAAAAACCAAGTGATGTCTATTTATAAATAAAATACAGAAAATGAAAAAAGAATCAAGGTTTTCTCATATTGCTACCTCTTTATCACGAAGAAGCGATCTATTATCTAAATTTTGTAGATCATAGTTTTGAAGAAGGTATTTAAAATTCAACAAACTTAAATAAAATAGATTCATGTATTTTGATATTCTGTAGTGTTGGAAGAAAATGCTTTTAAAAATATCATCGTTACATGTTGTCTGTTTTGAACTAGCTTTCAGTTCCTTTGTTTTCTCCTACATCGCTACTCTTTTGTCATTTGTAAGTTGTTTTTTGGGCTTTGTGCCAATACAACGAGTCATACCATTTTGATGTTTAGTTGTTATATCACAGTCTACTGTTCTCATGTTAGGGGAAGGGTTGCACGCTCACAACCACGTTAACTCCTAATCAATCTGTGATAAAAGTCCCAAATAAAGGGCCTGTCTTCCATAGATTGGAATTGGTTGCCATCTTAGAATACTTCTCATTGGCAATCATACCACATTTCCTTATTTTAGATTAAGCATATACCTCAAACATAGATATTTAGTAACACTTTGTAGCTTGATATTATAGGCAAGTCACATTCCTGGAAGTGGATACCTGACAATGGTAACTGGTTATAACATTTCTTTGACATAAAATCAAAATCTTTCATAGGATTATAAAATACAAATTCATCAACATGTTACTTCTTATGTTGGGTAATAAAGACACTCCAAGATACTTAATCCGTTACATGTTAATATAGAAAAAGTTGAAGTCCATTAAAAAAAGATTTCATTACAGACCATAGGAATGTACGATTACTCTGTCTCGCGTCTGATACATAAATTTGCAGACTCAAAAAATAATAATTAAAAATGTTCTTATATACAACATAGTATATGAACAAATAATAATAAATAGAACTGCAGTCTTCAATTCATTTGTGCCATTTAATGACAATAACAACAATAAAGTTGTCAGTCAAAATAAAAAACATAATATCTCCTTGACAGACAACAGCTTCTTTCGTCTTGACCACATCCTGATAAAAAACAAAATAAAATTAAGAAAACATTCGACAATTTATTGAATTTATGAGCACAATTTTTTTAAAATTAGATGTTTACATTAAATGAATGTACACATTGATTGATAAATTTTTGTTTAGAAGCAGTCAAAATAACTATGCAACTCCTTTTGATTTTTTGTTATAAAATTTATGCCTTTATCATATATATTATA